GCATCTTTTAACTGCGCATCACCTTTTTGAGACCTCGGAGAAAGAAAAAAAAAGTCAAACGATCTGTTTCTAGGACACAGAAAAGAATTCCCAGCGGGGGGCTCGAACCCCCGACCTTTCGATGAACTTTTGATTTAAAAGTCAAACGCTCTACCAACTGAGCTAGCCGGGATGAATACAGTTTCTCTGTTTAGTATCAGATACCACCTGTATAAAATGATAATCGTTTGATGAAAAGATGTATTTTATTTGAAAATTTCCTAAGGATAGGGTCCATAAAAGCGTGGATTCAGCGGTGAATTGGCGGTCGGAGGATGGGCAGACCCTTGGTCAAAATTTGCTGTAAGTCGAAGGTGGATAATGGGAATAAATAACGACCAATTATAGCTCTCCGATATGCTGCACGATATAGTCGGAGACCGAGACCAAAGGTTAATAAATCGCTATATGACCCAAATAGATTCAGAGGTTGAAGTAGCATTAAGGCATTCTCTTTGACATAAGCTCCTCTTCTGCTACTGGTCCACCTGTGAAAATATCACTACTTCGTTGCATGCTGAAAATTTCCTAATGATAGGGTCGATGAAAGCGTAGATTCAGCGGTGAACTGGCGGCCAGAGGATAGGCAAACTCTTAAATTTGCCATCAGTCGAAGGTGGCGAGGCCAGGCATGTACTCAATCAGCCACGTCAGCAGAATATATATGCCCAACTACAGTGATGATGGGTATAAATAACGACCAATTATAGCTCTCCGATATATGGCATGATATAGTCGGAGACCGAGACCAAAGGTTGATAAATCGCTATATGACATACAAATAGATGTACTCAGAAATTGAAGTAGCATTATAGCATTTTCTTTGACATATGCTTCTCTTCTGCTATTGGTCGGTTCGTGTATTGACGTACAGTAAATATGCGGGGGGGGGGGGGAATCTTTGCGTTCACTCTTATTGATAATTTTTGGATCGGGTGGTGCATGGTACATGATGAACGCGATATACGCACAAAATGTGGGTTTCAAAGCAAATTTAAGTAGACACATATAAGAGATAATTCACAAATGCCGATTTGATTGTGTACGAATGGGAGTAGATAGAAAAATATGATCATTGGAAACAATAGGCCACCTCTAAAGTACGTGTGTACTCGGCTATCAAAATTCCTAGTATGTGAGAAGAGCACTCAGTGTTTCATTATGATTTATTTTAATCACTTGTAAGACTCGACTCATAATTGAGTATTTCAGGCAGAGTGGCCTGAAATGGTATCTTCATACTCTGCGCTTTTGACCTTGACATTAGTACTTAACCTTTTATTGCCGAGACATGTACTCAACATATTATCATCGTAGGACAGGGCTTCACTTTTGTACTCTTAAGATGTATTGAGAGAATAGCTCTTGTGCGGACTTGCTTCAATTGAACACTGACAATGACTATATAAAATATATAAAACTACCGCTGTACAAGCTATACGGGACGAGCGTCATCGCTATTGGGCCCACCACTAAGCTAAATAGCTACCGCGACTATTGTGTATATAATATCGTCAAAGCCTGCCCACGTGGTCGAGCTAATCGTAAAACCAAAGCGGACCAACTGCCGATTCATGGGTTGAATGAGCGGAGGTAGTCAAATCCTTGACCTACAGTTAGAGGTGACTCATCGCCGATATGCGCGTTATTAACAGTTAACGCTCAAACTTTTGTGCATTCTATGCATTCAAATTAGGAGAGGTTTTTCTTCTTCAGTGATATATATACGCATGCGCTGCGTGTAGCTAAAAAAGATATACCAATACAATACAATACATATTTTTTTCAGACGACCATCGTTTTATTCATGTGGTATTGAAATATACACTGAGTATCAACCTTCATCCCGGCTAGCTCAGTTGGTAGAGCGTTTGACTTTTAAATCGGAAGTTCATCGAAAGGTCGGGGGTTCGAGCCCCCCGCTGGGAATACTTTTTGATGTCGTTAAAAAAAAAGGTGAAATATAGGGTATAGGGTCTTTTAGTTTGAAGGTCTCGGGGATAATATTATTTAAATTTCAATTTGGATAAGTTTTTATGTCTACAACTCTAAATACACATCAGGCTTCATATTTATGCGTTGGAGAGGCAGTCTCCTCTGTGCTGATTTAAAAAAAAAGAATAATTAGTTTTACTTTTTAGTTCAGAGTTTTTTTTGTTGTTGGTTCACAGTTCCCCCTTTCTTTCATGACCCTCGGCGATCTGATAGTAAATGCTGGATTTGTACTCCTTACTTCCTTGTCTCGTAGATGTCCCCGTCAATAATATGCAAGTAAACAATTTTTCAAAGCATAGCTATCTATTTCCAAACGCTATGTCAAAGACAAAGAAGAAAAAAAAGTATTCTATCCCTGTTCTGACAACTTTTCTAGTAGAATGGTAGTTTTTTTACTGTATAGTGGAAGGAACATGATTTTAAGAAGGAAGTAAGTACATAACATTCATCCTTAAAAAAAAACAGTACGCATAAGGCTAAAAGTATAAATTCCCTGACCGTATTTTTTTTGCCCTGATACCCCACAAATCCTTGCCAAATCCGAATAGCCCTGATTCCAAAACATATAGGCGAAAACTCTGTAGTATCCTTTATTGATCCATGGCTCGGCTCCGGAGTCGAAGTAAACGATTCAAGTAGTCTTAAAATTCCTCCTCTATCATTTCTTTATCCTTTGTGCTAGATTCTGAGGATTCTAAGCCACTACACTACCGTATTCATACCTTTTAATGTAGCGGTCTAAAAATGTAAATCTAAGCATAAAATGACTACAGATTATCTACTATCTAGAGCTCCAAACCTTTTCGCGAATCCTCTTTAATCCTAAGTTTCGTTGCTTCGCAAGGATCATGTGGTGATGACTCGTCAAATTCATGTGGCCACGGTTCTCGGCAATGCGTCCGGAATATACAGAATTGTCCCAGATGCAAAACATCTCAAAAAAATCACCTAAACCCGACAAAAAAAAAGTATATCTAGTAAGTACCTCAGTTATTATATTCGACCGGCGATGTTGGGCATTCATTTTGAGAAGAAATGCAGCTGTCCACTGTGGGATTGAAAATGGAAAATATAAGGATGTTCATACTATCACTGTACCTATAATGTTTCCGCACAACCAATATTATTCCCTGGTCTGCTCGTAGTTCCGATTGAAATTTGGTTGTATTTATTGGCTTTACATGATACTCTATAGTAGGACACCTAAGCATAGTAATTGAGACTAGTCTTCTTCTTTGACTGTACTTCCTGGATACCATCCTGATAGTCCTCGTGAGCCAACTCAGTCGACTCGTTTCGTAGAGCGATCATACCGGCCTGCAATACATGATCAAATAAATGGACAACAGTAAGCATTCGATCATAACTCAAAAGTGAGCAGGTATACACATTTTGTGTATATCAGCACGAATATGCATGTGAGAAGTGAGACTCATACACAAGCCATGTAGATTCTTCCTACACATCGCGAGGTGAACTTACTTTATACTGTGACGCAAACAGATAAGAATATACCGTACAATGATTTTCTTCTGTTATTCATAAGATTTGAATCATAACACTATGTGCAGACATCTAAACGCGGTGTCGAAAAGCCGAACAAACTGAAAGTCTTACGACCAAGAACCACACAATTGACAAGATTAATCACAGGAGATCATCGCAATGTACCAAGCACGTGTGGACGAATACACAGGCTAGTGTGCACTAGCCACCGGACATAATGTGGTCAGCGAGACCCGAGACTCACCTCAACACACACAGCCTTGAGCTGGGCACCGTTGAAGTCTTCGGTACATCTCGCCAGTTCATCGAAGTTCACATCAGGTGATATATTCATCTGTACGGGCCAGGGAAAGCAGTCGGGGCATATCCGCAGTGAGTGAGCACGGTGGAGTACGAATATCGATGGCGACTTGAGCGAGAGAGGTGATATTGCCACAACAACGGCCATCAAGGCCAAAGGTAGGGTCGTACACAAACTCTTCGTCATGGTAGACAAGACACACACAAAAGACTACAAGAACAGATGCCGTGCGCGGCCACTTCATCGTCACTAACAAGTAGCTCTACTCACACGGGCATGTCCGGCCGAAGCAGGGCCGGTGTGTATGTATGTATGTATGTATATGTATGTATGTATGTATGTATGTATGTATGTATGTATGTATGTATGTATGTATGTATGTATGTATGTATGTATGTATGTATGTA